ATATATATATATATATTTTATAGATTTGTTGATTATATAGATTTTGAGAGATTTGTTATTGATATAGATTTGTTGTATTAAATTGGCACAAATATTTTCTTTTCTTAAGGTATATCATGTATGAACAGTTTGTTGAATGACATGGGGGTGGAAAATTGTAAGATATTATTTTTAACGTGTACATAATTAGGATCTTGACTTTTGTTTCTAATATTTTCTAGTTGGTTGGATTTCAATAGGAAAATGAAACGATCAATTGAGAATCACTGTTGCAGGATGGTTAAAGCTGACGGAAGCGATAAATGGTTTTGCAAGCTCTCTCACTCTCACGAGGAAATGCTAATTCATATTCATAAGTGTAACGTTTAGTATCGCGACGCGACCAATTCTCCAAGGGAATTTTCGTTAGAAGACGAAGAAATAAAATCTATATATATATATATATATATATATATATATATATAACGAAATTTATGTTTGACGTAGGGTAATTTGAATCGAATATATCCGCTCAAAAAATTCATTTTTCAATAGGATTTTTATAAATACACAAAAATTTCATACATTAATTTTAAATAAATATTTCATTATATTTGTTATGATTTTACTTGCAAACAAGAGATTATTATTTCATTGAAAGAAACTAGTTCACAATTTGAAATACCATTACTGATTTATAATTTTTTTCTTTATTTTTTTATTATTATTATTTTTTTTTATTTTATTTATTCAATCGAGGAATATTTCGCCATCTGTACGGGACATGATCGAACTATATTTTTGGATTTATCAGTCGAGCAGGGTAAGAATAATGTTGCTGATGGTATTTATTTTGATTCGTATTAAATAAATAATAAAAAGTGCTTTTCATGGGATAATCATATTTTAATGGAAATTTTTGAGTCGTGAAATATTACAAACAATATAAGATTCACATTATTTTATTTATAAAATTGCAGCATTAATATATTAGTAATAATTATATTAATATTATTATTAAATGTTCGATAACTTAACTTTCACTATATTAATTACTATTATACACATATAAGCATTTAAATATACAAATTTAAATATTATATCTATAAATAATTTCATCATTTGAATTAAGTATTTTTATATCGTTTTGACAGGAATGATGTCAATGTGAGATTATACTGTCGGTTCACCTTTCATTGATTTGACATTAGGTTTTCTTAAGTGATGATAACTTGGTAGTATCCTTCTAAGATAATCCAATTGTCCTACTTGTGGCTAAAATAAAATCACAATAGTATAATATATTTAAATCTGAAGTATAGAAATTGTTAACTCTTTCTAGTCATATTTCTAATTTCTATTTAAAAAAAAAACCAGCATTTATGTTATAAAATATAATTCATAAATATATTGTTTTATTTCTTTCGAATTTTTGCATTATGTTTCTCAGCAATTTGTTTGATAAAAATTCAAAGTACCGAACTTCTAAGTAGAAATAAAATATGACCGTAAAGAGTTAAAGTTATAATTTTGAGATTAAATAATAATTCTTACAAATGGTTTATCATTCATTTCTCTTCGTTGACATCTGCTGCCATATATTACAGTATTTTCAGAAACAGTTTCTGGTTCTACCAGGGAACAAGCTGTTCCTATTACACATCCGTTAGTTAATTCGACATCTTGAGAAATGTAAGCTGTGTAAAAAATAACAAACAATTAACATTATGTTGAATAATTATAGCTAATTTGTATAATAACAGCGTAGGAGATTCATGATACTGTTTACAGTTCAAATATGAGAAACGTTGGTTTGACTCATAGCAAATTTTACAGATCAGACATGAGAATCATGAAATGTAGCATCGAATATGGTAAAAAGCTTTGTATATTTAAACCATAGTTAATAAAAATTATATTCATATATACCTTTAGTTTCTAAAATATTGTTATCACCAACTTTATGTGACTCGCAGGTAGAATCAACTTCGAAAACATTGTAGTTACCAATTATTTGTACAGGTACCATATCACTTTCAGGATGTGGTAATCTATAAAAGTAAAAGAATTTAAAGAAAGTTATTTAAATGAATATAAAAAAAAAAACAAAAAACACAATGTATACTCACCTGTTAGCAATAGTTGCCATCTCTTCAATAATATTCCCTTCTCCGATAAAAATTGGTCCAGCTTCTGCCAAAATACTGGCCCTAGGATGTACAACAGTTCCTGTTCCGATAGTAATATCTCCTTTCAAGATACTTTCATCGCAAACTATAGCACCACTAGCTATCTTTAAGCTTAATAATAAAACGATATAATATTGAATTAGAATAATAATCAATGAGAATAGAATTTAGAGTCAAAATGTAGAAGAGAACAACGGTGTGTGCTTTCTAACCTCAAATGAGAACAATAATGAATAGTTTTAATATTGATAAATTTAATATAATAGACAATGATTTAATGAAATGAATATATATATATTAAAAAAAACAAATTATTTGTTATAAATAATAATTAAATCTCTTACTTGGAACGCCGTCCGATAGACGAGCTCATGTTAGATGTCATGTTTAATTAACATGCAGCACACTCTGGTGTCAGATGCGGTGCATTAAAAAGGAATCCCTAAAAATTACGGTCGGTACGTTTTTGTTTTTTTCTTTTTCTATTATTTTTTCTTTTTTTTCACCTTTTCGATTATTATTTTTGTATATAAATATATTTGAATACGTTTCGTTGAAATAGAAATAGATAGAAAAATTAGATTTATTTTTATTATATAGAATTTTGATGTTTTTCAATACAAGAGAGACGGATTGATTGTTTTAAAACGAAGATTTATTTAGCAACAATATTTTGCATTTATTTGTTTCTCTTTTTTTTTTCTTATTTATTTTTATTTTATCTTTTTTTTTTTTCTTATCATATTTCTGTAACTTTTTTCTCTTTTTAAATTTTATTGCACAGGGTTCTTTTGGCGGTTTATTTAAATTTCTTTCTTTCTTTCTTTTTTTTTTTTTTTTTTTTTTTTTTTTCATTTTTAGCATACAATTAACAAATGTTATTCATCGGGATGAACGTTTTATTGAAGATAAATCTACAAATAATCTCAGAAGATCTGAGAGTATCAAATATGTGTGTTTGTGTGTGTGTGTTTGTGTATTTATGCTGCAAATCAGAAAATAACAAAGAACGGTGAAATATCGAGGGGGAGAAGAAGGGGGTTTTGTTGAGTGGGGTTGATCAGGGGTTTTTTTTTTATTTTGTTGGGGGAAATATTAACCTGCGGTTAATATTTTTTTTTTCTTTTTAACTCTCTATATATATATTTTTCTTTCACTCTTTTTAATATATATATATTTCTTTCTCTTTCTTTCTTTTTCATACTTAATATCATCCCCCCAAGATGTAATAAAGTTACGTTAGAATTATACACGTTTGTAATGTAACTAGATTCGTTTTCTCGTTTCGATTGATCTATTTTTACTGCATGTATGTTTGTATATATATATATATATGTGTGTGTGTATATGTAAGTGTGAACTTTTTCTTATTTTTCTTTTTCGTATAAAACGGAGATCTTCTTGTATCATCGCTAAAAATATTATCAAATAAATAATAATAATAATAATAATAATAATAATAATAATAATAATAATAATAATAATATAAAATCTAAAATATATTTAGTTTAAATTCGTCCATTAAGAAGGGACTAATTGCTAATACAATAATCGTAGAATAAAATATCAGATTGTTTGAAAAATAATTTTACAAGATTTATACATATATATATATATATATTTATAGAACAAAAAGAAATAAACAAGATTCTTACCTTTATGTAATAATAATAATAATTTCTAAAAAGAAAGAGACGATGTAACGATAATAAAATCTATCAGTCGTAGGATTTATTTTTAATTAATTAATTAATAAAAAAAAAAAAATTGTAGCTCGATAATGAATAACTATCATCATCATCATCATCATCATCATTATTATCATTATCATCATCAACAAACTCTATTAGAAATATAATATTCAGTTAGGAGATAAAACAATACTCCCCTCTTATTAATTTTTCTTTTTCTTTTTCTTTTCTATTTTTTTTTTCTTTTTTCTTTTTTCTTTTCGGTGAAACATTTAAATTTAAGTTATTTAACGATAGAAAAAGTTTCGTCCTAAGCAAAAGATTATCATCATGATTTATCATCATCATCATCATCATCATCATCATCATCATTATCGTCATTAGCAACGTAATTATCATCATGAATGACGATGAGAAAATTATGATGATTTTCGAAAATGAGCTACTTAAAACTTTGTCAACGCAGCTTTCGTTACAATTCTAATTGTAAGTAGTAAAAAATGACTCTCTGTATGTGTGTGTGTGTGTATTCATTTTTTTATATATTTTATATATATATATATAATAATTACGCACACATACACACACACGCGAAACGACATCGGGTTATTAAATGTCCACGTTTTATCTTGGATTATTTAATTTTTTTTATCCCCTTTCTTTTTTTCTTTTATTCTTTTTTTTTTTTTTTCTTTTTAAATATAACTTCGTTCATGTTGCCTCTTAACGGAAAAAATATAAAAAAATTGTTAACGAGGCTATCAATTTGTTTATTATGAAAAAACTCTCATCATCCAATTTCTTGAATTCATTTCTTTTTCATTATATTCTTCGTTTTTTATTAATATTGATATTAATATTAATATTAATCATTATAATTAGTATTAGTATTATTATATTATTATTTTTATTATTACTATTATTATTATTATTATTTTATATATATATATCTCGCACCTAGATTTACACTAATTCCTATTCTCCAAAATTTCTCTTTGTTTATGTTATTTCTCTTTCGTTTGAAATAATCAATTCGTGGTGTTTTTTTTTTTTTTTTTTAATTTTTCCAATAGAAAAGAAAAGGGTTAGTTTTACAACATTTTCCCTAGGTTTAACCCCCCTCTTGTAATTTATTTATTTATTTATTTATTTAGTTTTGTTCCTTCATTTACTTTTCCTTTTATTTTCAGAAACAAAAAAAAAAGAAAATTAACGTTCCACCCCCGTCTTCTTGCCCCTTTTTCTCCTCCCTCTCCTCCTCCTCCTCTTCCTCCTCCTCTTCGTATTCTTCTGTGTCATCCTGCTTCATCCTTAATCTTCTTTTGGGATCCCAATTTGTTTTAAATCATCCTAAACGATTTCTGCGAAGGCCACACGACGAATCCCCCTTGGTTTCTTCTTGCGTGTTAATTATAAACAAATATCGTATTGATATTTATTTGTCTACAAACCTTATTTTAAAATATAATTGCAATCGCGTTGTTTATAGTCTTTTCTTTCTCATCCATTTGATCATTCTCACTCTCTCTCGCTCTCTCTCTCTCTCTCTCTCTCGCTCTCTCTCTCTCTCTCTCTCTCTCTCTCTCTCTTTCGTTCGTTCGTTCTCTCTCTTTCTTTCTATTGAGTTGTTCGAAAAGTAATTTCATTTTTTCTTGACCCAATAAAGGCATTAATTGATGATGCAAACCTGGCAAATAACAACACGTGAAATTGGTGATAAGTTAAATTTAACAAATTCAATTGTTTATGCCCACTTAAAAGGCCTAGATTTTTAATTGTTTTCATTTTTATATAAGAAAAACGAAATTACTTGTTGAACAATCCAATAACATTTTATAATATAACGTTGATAATTTATATTTTGAAAACTTAAATCATTAAAGTATTTTAATATCTCCCACAATTCCACATAAAATTTATCTCGATATATAATTCTAATCATGGTATATAATATACATAATAATAATAATAATAATTATATATATATATATATATAATTTATATAATATAACGCCTTTTAAACGCGACCCACAAAAGCCACGTGTTTTTTTAGTTTTATTCTTTTTCTTCTTCATTCTTTTAAATCTTACCTAGAGATATTATATTCTTTGCTTGTATTATTTATTTATTTGTTTATTTGTTTGTTTGTTTGTTTGTTTGTTTGTTTGAATTATTCGTAGAAATATTCTTATACCACATCCACTCACAAACTTTCTTCACATTCGCTCGATAACGCATTTTTTAAATTAATTATTTGTTTTTTATGCGTTATGTTTCTAGAATTCAAAACACAATACAACACAAATCAACACAACACAACGCAAGACAACATAAACAAAAATAAAACAAAAAAGAAACGAAACGAAACTAAACGAAAATAAACGAAACTAAACGAACGGGTTACGATACGAATTGTTTTCTGCTTTTTATTTCTTTTTTTGTTTTGTGTGTGTGTATGTGTTACTTTTTTTTCTTTTAATAATTTTTTCTTTTTTTTTATCTTTCTTTACATTTCTCAGTGATCTCTCTATAATCATTCATTTATATTATATATATATATTTTTTTTTGTTTAAAGGTGTATATAACAATAGTTAGAATTCGAGGACCCCCGATTAAATTGAATGAATTTTGTTTTTGGGGAATTTTCAAGGTACTAAGAAAAATTTGTCCCTTATCAGACATAAAATCGGTAAGTTTGTGTGTATATCATATCTTTCTCTAATAATCCCTTTTTTTTATCTTTCCCTTCATCCATTTTTCTTGATCATTTTATCCCATTTTATTATTATTATTATTATTATCCTTTTTTAACCATAATTTCTTTCAATGTTTCAATTTCGTGAATTAATTCTAAACTATCGGAGAATATCGCGATGGCCGCAATTTTATTAATGCACTAAAATATCTCTTCAAAATCGTATGAACCTTTGAACCTTTTTTCTTTTTTTTTCTTCTTTGTTTTGTTTTGTTTTCTCTTTTCTTTCTCTCTCGTAACTATTTTATACCTCTGTGTCCCATTATTCTGCGACTATTAATAATATAATAATAATAATCATCGTCGTCGTCGTCGTCGTGTCTATTATTCTATGATGAATGTATGATTTGATCGCTGAATTATTTTTTTTTACTATTTTTTTTTTCTTTTCTTTTCTTTTTTCTTTTCTTTTCTTTTTTCTTTTGTCAAAGTCTCTTTTAATATAATAAAATCATTCTAAGTGATTGATCTAAGTTGATCATCGTATTTAATACGCGTATATCGTCTCGTGGTGTTGTTATAATAATAATAATAATAATATATTCTGTCTATCTCTCTCTCTCTCTCTCTCTCTATCTATCTCTCTCTCTCTTTCTTTTTCTCATATTTTTAATTATTCTAATTTTATCCATGAAGGATTTTTATTTCATTTTATTTATTTTTTTTTTTTTTATATGAGATTTTTCTATAATTCTTCTTTCCACCCCCCCCCACCATTAGTCTTTCTAACTTTTCATTATTTTCTAAATTAATTTATTTTCTTTTTTATTATTATTAATATTATTATTATTATTATTATTTGTCTATTATAAAATGAATATATGTATATATATATATATATTATAATATATTCGTGTAACGAAGTCGAACGAGTAGAAATTTTTTTGTCGAAAGACCGGCTCTCTCTTTCTCTTTCAACACATGCATACACACTCACACTCACTCACTCACTCACTCACTCACTCACTCACTCACTCACTCACTCACTCA